TCCTAGGAAATCTGCAATAGTGAACACGAAGTCGCTAATTTGGCTGTACACAGCTACGGTAATGATACGGTTACTGTAGCCTACAAAGTTTACAAAGCCTGCGATCATCGCGTCCTTTAAATCCAACAAATTTCCATTATAAGTGCATTCAATCGATCTTACCTCTCATTCCTATTTCCTTAGCACGGTTTCATCTCTAGATAGCCCATGCTAAAAATGCTCAATATGCTCATCAATCAATAACGATCAATATGGAAACAAAAATTGTATGCTTAGCCATTTGTTCAGTATTCTTTCCTAACATTATTGTATCTGCAAATATTCTTCTACCTCAATCTGCTCTGTGATGTTGCCTTGAATTATAGACTATGGGTCGATTTTACTAAATGTTCCGTTTAATCGAACAAATTTATTCGATCAATATGTATTTGATGTGCTAGCACTCTATTACTTGTTTTATGCTTTATCGCTTAGCTAAATAAATTTTGCTGTTTCTTGTGAAATTTGTTTACAAGGACAACTCTTCCAGCAATAAATACATTCATATCTGACTGCTCAATAAAAGTTAGAGTGGATTTTCGGGAAGGGAAGTAGGAAGACGAGAAGTGGAGTAGGAGGGGTAGGGGGATAAAAATGCAACATTTACCTTCCTCTCCCCCTCATCCTAGTTGTCAGATGAATGTTTCCTAATTCTTACTCAGAATATTGTGGAATGTGAGAAGGAACGTCAAGTGCTTGATTTTGCCTTACATTATCATCATAGAAAAGCGGATAGATCATACCTTTTGAGGAATATAGTGAAAGCTGGCAGACGTCTACAGTCCACTAATCATATCAGAATGAATTTTCCGGGAAATGAGCATACTTTACATTATACGCAAGAAGAGGAACCAAAGCAGTTAAATAGAGATTTTTTCTGATTTGCGGTGTCTACACTACGGCCCGTAGTAAAGTCCCCTCAGCAGAGATCACCTGAGGGCAGCGTCAGGTGAACTCATTCCAAGGCAGG